GGTGTTGTAGAGGCCAGTCACTGAGAACACAGTGATCACCTGGAGGGTTGTTGTAGAGGTCGGATTCTGGAGATATGATAGTCACCTTCGGCACTCGGCTATCTGGTTTATCAGACAGTCAACAGAGGGCCCCTGAGACTCCCTTCTAATGCCCACACAACACGTAAGCTTGGCATAGTAAAGAGCATGATACACTGATGGAATGCTGATGGAATCGAACCCAAATCCTAACATGACATATCGTACTTTCACAGCAGCGCGAAACGGATACTCTAGCAAAAGCAATTGTCATCAGCGTGCTCTCAAAGCACAAAGGGAGAGTTCTTATGTGATGTGCTGAATGACTTGAAGCAGTTCGTTGAGCTATTCCCAAGACCTAAGGGCACGAATTCAATACGCCTAAAAAAGAAAAAGTGGAGCGCAAATGGAAATGTCTTTCGGTGCAAAACGACGCTGTTTTTAGTAGGCATAGGGATTGACATGGAAGAAAAACAGAGGTGGTTTTGATACATCAAAGAGTAGCAGACACTAAGTACACAGTACTTGGTGAGGTATTGGTCAGGGACCGATCGTGAAAGCTACCCCGTGGAAGTAATCTCGTGGATACCCGGTTGTGTGGATACCCCGTGGAAGTAATCTCAGGGAAGAAAGCTCAAAAGGTGCGTCAAAGGTGCCATCAGTGGTTTGTACTCATGAGTTGTTTAAATGTGGATACAGGTCTGAGTCTAGCTGCTATGTCCAGTTATGGGGGAGGGGTGGCCCCGTGGGCCCCCCCTTCCCCTCCCATGCTGACGTCAGTGAAGCTGAGGGCAGACTCACAACAGGACTTTTTTTCTTAGAATTTCTGAATGTGATTGCAGTTGGATTCGCCGCATGTGGGAGGAAAGAGAAAGACCATCAGCTGTACGGGCTCATCAGTTTTGGTTATCTTACCACAGAGCCATCATCTTGATGGCTGACATCTCAACACATCTGCTCTGCACGAGGAAAGAAAAACGAACGTCCGCCCCAAAACCTAAACCCTCCGCCGCAAATTCCTACTCCCACAAATTCGTATGAGAAATAACAACAACAATGTTATTTCAGCACAACCTTCATGCGAAAGAGGAAACTAGATGATGCCTGCCCACACAAATGTACGACCTCCGCTGCATGCCGCCAGTTGTCCTTCTCCGAACTCCGCGTGACCGGTCGGTGTTGTGCAGCGACTGCACCCTTCCAATGTACCAAACGACGCCCAAAACCCGTCTTACCCCCAGACGACGACATACCCAAAATAGCAATGGCCACTAGATGACGAAACACAACCAGGGTAAGGGTAGCCTCCTGGCTGCGAAACGGAATTGAACGGTGTGCTATTTTTAGCAGCTGCTGGTACTGCCCTCCAGCGCTCGCCACTTGGCAAGCGGATTCTAGCATGAGGAAAAAGAGGCTCATAATTCGATATGGGACGCTGGGCCCGGTTCCCAGCACGTGCTGCTGCCCACGAATAGACTGGAGGACTTGTTCAAAAAAAAAAAAAAAAAAAGAGAGGAAAAAGAGGCTCGGAATGGAAGGGTTCTGGGCCTCCTGGCACACCTCGTTTGCGCCAATGCCTCTGGTCAGAATAGGCACCATTCAGGCAAAACACAGCGCCTGAGGGCATACTCACACTATGACTTTTTTCTTTCCTTCTTTCTATCTGTTTTTCTTTTTCAATTTGGACAACTTGCTACATTTATGTGTGTGATCCAACGGCCTATCTCAGTTGGTAAGGCATGCAAGTGGAATTCAGGAGGTCTTGGGTTCAATCCCCATCGGCCTCATGTACCTTCCTGGGCAAGTTCCCGCCCGCCTCTTAGAGATAGGCCATTTCTCCCCCTGAGCGGCATTGAGCAGAGACTGCTGATGTTTGGAGGGGGAGGGGATCGGAGGGGAGGCACAGTGACTGGGCCATCGAAGAAGCTCGGTCCTGATGCTACCAGCCGAACCCTGGCCGGTATCACCCACCTGCTGAAGCAGGTGTCAAACCTGCTGGTGGGTGCAGCTTGGCTGAACACGAATGTGGCCGCTACGGGGTTCCCCGTAATAGTATAATTGATAATAGAAAGGGATAATTTCGAGGCTACCAGACGGGCCGCCCGGATCCCGGGTGGGACCAGGGAGGGTCCCAGCAACAAAAAACAAAAAAAAAACAAACAAACAAAAATCGGGAAAAAAACTATCTATGTTATAAAGGAAAATAAACTGAACAACGTTTGCCTCAGGGTCACATCGAAATTCTTCACCAAATTTAGAATAAGAAACTATGTTACCAGTTGTCCGATGGCAGGATGTCCTGGCCGGACAGTGAGGGGGGTCCCAGACGTCCGGGCCCAGACAACTCCATTTTTAGCACAAAAAAAGAAAAGAAAAAAAGAAAAAAAAAGTTGGGGGTGTCTTTAATTTAATTTTTTATTTTAAAATTGACACCGAATTTCGATATCATCCCAAGGCAAAAGTTGTTCAGTTTAGTTTTCTGCAAAGAATTTTTTGAGGACTCCTTTTTTTTTTTTTTTTGGGCGTTCGGGCTCGGACAGGGAGCCCGGGGAGGATGTTCGACCGTTGTCCGAACGGACAACCCCGGACGGTCAGGGGGGGTCCCGGATGTCCGATCAGGTAACCTAAACTTAGAAATAAATTTTACAGTTTTTTTTTTTTTTTTTTTTGGCCTGGCTGGGCAAGTGACCCCGGGCCACTCTGGTAGTAACTGGATCCGTACATCTGGGCCTCAGTCCTCCTTCGTGCATGCACGAATTCGAACCGGCGACCTCGGCCTCAAGAGCCAAGTCTCGTAACCACTACAGCCAAGACACGGTGTTCAAAAGTGGAACCATACCGGTCATGATATCCACCCCACCCCTGCAAGGCTGTACTGTCCAACTCAACACACACCACACTCAACTCCACGCGGCAATTCACACGCACTTCGCTCCAATCAGCACGCATCCCCTAGCCTAGGATAATTTGCAAAATACCCCCATAACTTGAGATATATGCCAAAATTCCTCTGAAAGATGTGGGTAGAGCAGAATGCCCTTTTGGGCCAAATTCAATGTGTTCTGCCGATGTCAGGCTGGTGTGCAAATGTGCAATCTGGACCTCGCTGTTTGGGCCTGGGCATTTGCAATTGGGCCTTGGAAAGGTTGGCAAGTACTTGGGCATTTTGCAAAGTTGGACGCGACCGGGTAGGGGTGGGGGGTCCTGCCGACACCAGGAGTATTTCACAAAAAATGTTTTTTGTCAGAGGGGCATTCCGCTCCATTCACATGTTTCAGGGGCATTTTGGCATAGATCTCAACTTATGGGGGTATTTTGCAAATTATCCCTAATAAAAAAGGCCTGAACGCCTTCCTGTCCGGATACAGGTAATTGAATTTGTTGGGCTTAGAAGAATTAGCCTTTAAAAAGAACAAATGTTTGCCCACTGCGGCTACACCCGTGGCACACCTCTTACCGCCTGCTCTCGGGGAAAAAGGGAAAAAAAACGCCCGACCCACTCCTTCCCCTCCCGTTCCTCCTCTTCCTCTTTTCCCTTCTCCTTCCGCCCCTCCTCCTCCTGTTCCTCCTTCTACATGTTTTGCTCTCCCTTTGCAGCCTTCCATCCCTCCTCCTCCCGTTCCTCCCCCTACACGTTTTACTCTCCCTCCTTCTCCTCCCGTCCCTCCTTCCGCCCGTTGTTTTCCCCCTCCTCGTCGCCTCCCTCTCCCGTCCCTCTTCCCTTCTGCGGTGCTCCTTTTCCCCCTGATCCCGTTCCTTCTCCTTCTGGTGGGCTCCCTCTCGTGAATGGAACACGTCCCGCTGGTCGTCCTCCCCCTTGTCGCAATCCTCCGCCCGCCGCCCGTAGTGTTGTTCCTCCTCCTGCTCCTCTTCCCTCCGATCTCGTTCCTTCTCCTCCCACTACGCTCCCTCTCTTTAACCTCCTTCCTCCTTGTCCCCCTCGTTCCTTCCCTCCTCCTCCTCCTGCTGGTTGTCCTTCCCCCTCTATCGCAATCCTCCACCCGCCGCCCGTAGTGCCATTCATCCTCCGCAAAAGCAAGATAGGCCAAAACAAGAAAAGAATGTTCCGGTAGAACATGGGAAGATACACCGCCAATTTTTTTTTCAACGCCCCGATGCAGAACCGGGCGCTCTCGAAATGATGAAAGGTACCAGATGCACTCAACGCCCTGTGCTACGAAGGTACCGGATGGACTTTCCCGAAAGGACAAAACGGGAGAGGCCTAAAAAAAGAAAATGCACCCAAGCCCCGACACTTCCCATGGCCTTGACTGTCACCCAACAGATAGGCCAAAACAAGAAAAGAATGTTCCGGTAGAACATGGGAAGATACACCGCCAATTTTTTTTTCAACGCCCCGATGCAGAACCGGACGTTCTCGAAATGATGAAAGGTACCAGATGCACTCAACGCCCCGTGCTACGAAGGTACCGGATGGACTTTCCCGAAAGGACAAAACGGGAGAGGCCTACAAAAAGAAAATGCACCCAAGCCCCGACACTTCCCATGGCCTTGACTGTCACCCAAATTTTCTTAAGCCCACGTGAAGCATTACACGGGGCACGCTTTTCCCTTCCTTTAATACGATTAGGGATTAGGGTATAGGGAAAATCCTTGCACAAGGGATGTCCCGAAAGACCACACTACAACTTTTTGGACCCACTCGTGAACACAATTGTGGTCAGAGCATATGCAGGACACGTTGTGATACACCCAGGACTTGCTGTGATTACGGCTGTATACATATAAAAAAACACTCCAAATGTGAGTATGCCCTAAAGTGTGGCTGGTAGTGGGAGTGACGTCAGGAAGATGCATTTTGACTTGATCAAAAAAAAATCCTTTTTATTTTTTTCTCCTCCTTTCTTACTTTTCTTTTTCCCTTTTTTTTAAAGAATGAATGTCTGTATTTCTTGCAAAAGAGTTGAGGTTGGGGATCTCACAATTCTTCCCGGGGTATTTTTATTATTTTCTCATGGTACAATACGTGGTCTTTCTTCTCTGTTTTTTTTTCTCTCTCCCTTCCCCCCCTCCCCCTCTCATCTCATAGCGACTATGGCTGTATTTCCCAAATGCCGCTGGTAGTGTGACTGTGCGTGACACGAAGGGCCTCGTAGGACTACCCGCCAAATTTGTAGAGGGCATACTCGCACTAGACTTTTTCTGCTATTATTTGTCTGCGATTGCAGCCAGATACATCAGGCCGGGTAGTATATGCGTGCACATGCATTCATGAAAGTACTAGTGTGAGTATGCTCTAAGATCAAGAAATTGGCCTCGTACTCTGGGCAGCGATTGTTGTCGCGCATAGCGCTTTCAGGCCAAGGGATTCCACTATAGGACACGTGGCGAGGAGGAATACAAACAAAAACCAGTATGATTGCGACCTTCCGACTCGGATTCAGAGCTTTGTGATGAACGTCGCCGTTCCCTTGTGCAAAGCCGAGATCCGACAAGCATTCCCCTTCCCTTCCGACCCAAAAAGAGGCGTCGCTCCGCACGCAACGAAGTTCAAAGAAACCTTTTGACTGAATAACCATTAAAAAAAAAGTCCGCTTCTCTAACTTCTTGCCTTGTGTTCATCGTTGCTTATCTGGGACCACATGGGAGATTTCAATTTTGTTTGTGTCTCCACACTCAACTTTCCAAAAATTCTTAGCACACCCCATTTTACCACTGTTGGACCCCCTTTTCATGCTTAAACGAGCAGTACCTCTCCCTGCTTGAAGAATTCGACGTGGTCGTTAACGTGCCGCGTCGCGCTGTCGGTGCGAATACCCTTACAAGGGTATTCACCCTGGTTTTTGCAAGCGACAGGAGATAAGTTTGGGTTAAAGTTTTAAGTACACCACGCTAGGCGCGGTTGTGTCTGTGGTTTACTTTGACTAAATGGTTGACTAGAATAGAGAGTGCATGGGCGCGTAGACTTAAGGCGCGCGTGATCTTTTCTTATTAATGATTGGAGAACCGGCGTGGTAGTCGGCCGGATTTTATGTCTGATTAAGTCACGATTAAAAATATTATGTCTCTTGATTAGTGCACTTTACCTATGATTTGTGAGTATGTGCGAAGGACGACAGCGACGACAGCATGGTTCGGTATAGTCGCACGGTGGACGCGGAAGGTTGACGACCGTGAGTTTTGCTGATAGGCCGATCTGGGGGTTTAAAACGTTTGGTAGATTTGCGCGTTGCGCAGTATCCATTTATTTAGGTGTCTGTTAATACTAGACCCAGCCTTGGGCCTAATACTATTGGTTACGGTGCTGGACTTGTATCTGAGAGATTCAGGGATTGAGATCGAGCGGCGACGACGTGGGATATCAGAGTAGCGCGAAGATAACCGAGGGGTTGAGGGCCCAGCGGGGCTATCCCCCTTGGTTTTGTCGACTGAGGCGTTAGAACGGTACTAATGGTCCATTTTCCTCAATTGCCGTATTTTAACAATTAAAATGTTTATATGTTTTATTATTGTTTTTATTGTTATTATCCATGCGTCGACATTTCTTGACTCAGACGCAGCGCCGGATTTAAAGGTCGTCACAGCGGTCGAGGACCTTGAAAACGCGCGCCTCTTTGGTTGACCTATAAGTTCCCTCGTGTCGGGAGGATGACAAAATTGTTCTGCTCCGCCCATCTTAAAGCTTGGACAAAAGGGTGGTCCAAGCACGCGGGGTCCGTGGTTGTAGTTTCCCTCGTTTCTCACTTGGAGAGTGTCAGTAGCCTAATGTGGGAGGGAATCAGAGAATATTCCGAGCAGGCCGCGGGGCTACAGCCAAAGGATAGCGTGGGCCTTCTGCGGGTGCCGTGTCCACCAACTACGATCTGTCGAGAGATGCTATGAGTGTGAGCATGCCCTTGAGAGACCCGAAGGAAGGTCGACTCTGCCTAAGCAGGTGGGGCATGCAGTCGTATTAGCTTACTGCCGCCCGTCGGGTTTGGATAGAGGGACGAAAAAGACTAGTCGAACTGACTACAAACTAACGCCCCCTCCCGAGGTTCGCTTGGGACTATGACTACTACCGAGGAAAAATCGGGTCGCGCTAGCCGTTGCCTGTAGAACGAGGGAGGCAAGGAATAGAGAGCAGGTCAGCGGGGTGACAGGATGACGAGGTGGCGGACGGATAAGAAAGACAGCGCGAGTCGGGAAGCAACTTTGTGCCCGGTTCGCTAGCTGCGTATGGAGTCGGGAGCAGGTAAGAAGGGCAGCAAACAGACGGGGTGGTAAACAACCGAGAGCGATCTACTCGGCCATTATGACTGTCGCCGTCTGATTTTTCGGCAATCATTGCAGCATCTCGATTAGCGCGCAGTTCAACTCCTACCGAAGGTGACGAGCAGTCGATTACGTGATAGTGAGACGGAGCGCTCGATAAGGAAACTGGCAAGGAGTACAGAGGCACGAAAAAGAGGTAGGAACCTGGACAGGGATTCCGACCGGGGTACATCTGAGGATCGAAGGAGGTAAGGACGAGTAGAGCGGAGTGGAGCAGAGAGTCACAGAAAGAGAAGTTAGTGGAAGGAATGAAGCAAGGCGCGTTTCCGCACCGAATCTATTCGGAGAGGAAGACTATGGAGGGACGGGTGAGCGTAGCAGAAGAAGCTTAGCTCGCTCGATCCTTGTCAGAATCGAGCGAGGAAAGAGGCGGTTTTAAGGATTTGAGGTAGGGCGAACCCATTACTGAAGTTAGATTTCGATTTACGAGGCAGATTGAGACGGTAGAAAGGAAGGGAGCAGCGATGGAAAAGTCGGGTATAGCAAAAGCGAGTGTGCATCAGAAGAAAACTGAGTGGATTGTGTAACTCTCAAAGAGATTGAGTGAGATGAGATTTATAATGGGGGTTTTCGGGCAGTGCGTATCTGATGGTAGGTCCAGAACGGACAAAAGATGAGTGGATTGGTCATGCAACTTGAACTTGTATAATTTGAGCAAAAGAGGGGAGGGACGAGAGAATGCACTGACTAAGATTTTGCCTATTGTGGGACGAATAAGAGTTTTTTATCTAGGTGATTGAACCGAAGGTCGGAGTGTGATTATGGTTCGAATCTGTATGTAGGGAGGGGCGGTTTTAAAAACCAAGTGAATAATCGAACGACGAAAGTAACGAAGGAATGAGGATTACCTGGGTGCTGGCGATTCTTCTGTACACGCGGTATACTAATCAGTCTGGTCGACGGATTGCTTGCTCTGCTGGCCGAGGGGGTGTGATTCCGGCGCGCGGCTCGGAGCACCATCGGAGGGTCAGGTGCGTCGGTCCGACACTACTCAAAGGCAGTGCGGGACCCTCCCGGTCGCGTTACGCAGGAGTTGGCCGGACAGGACAGGGCCTACGTGAGGCACGACTTACCTCCACCTTACGGGAGTTGTCACCTCCCTTCGGTGGGCGTATCCCCGTCGAGCTGCCAGTTCACAGTACGAAAGTTGATCAGTTGCAATCGCAGAGGTGGACCAGCCGAGGGCGTTTCTCGTTCGCTGTAGCATAGGGGGTACGCGCGGTAATACGCCTCTATTGGACCCGCACAGAATCGACAACTTGGGAGGCTGAGGTCCCAAGTGCGGCTCGACGTCGGTCGGCTAGGACGCATCCCACTCACCACGCATACACCACTTTTCAAACACAAAAGTAAAACGCACACACACACATCAAATGACACAACAACACTCCTAGCCCTTCGGTAGCCATCCCATAACTTTCCGGCGCGGAATTCGGATAGGCGTTGCGCGCAAGACTTGATAAAAAAAACCGCACGGACGCAGGGCTAACTCATATCGACTCGCGATGCAAGCTTATGCAAGCAGCCACGATGATAGCGTACTATGTAGTACCCATACTTATGTAGTCCTCGCAAATCTTGAGGGTCGCATTCGACACTCAAGTGTCGGTTCGCACACGCCTTGAGGGTTAATGTCTCGACGTTGGACACACACCCTCTTCTGCACCTTATGCACAGTGGGTGGTACACAGGTCCATACCTGTGGTGGCAGCTGTTTCTTGCTGCCCTGGAGATAAACCCCACTCCAGGCCCGGACACGAGTCAAGGGGTTTGACTTTGACGGCAGCCACGGACTACAACGTCCAACCATAATAATCCAAAAAAACAAATTTAGGC